ATATGACTGACTAAATTTCTACCCCACAGGACATCACACAAGCGATAAACACCCAATGAGCCACCATCTGGGTGAGGATCACCGTGGAGAGGTCCCAGAAACCGCGTTCAACCTTTAAGCTATATTTATGGCTAAGCTAAATAGCGGCCCCTGGCAAAAGCCAGAGTAGGGTTCCAATAACGAAAAATGTCATCCTAAAAAGGACAAAAAGTAGATAATTAGTATGTACATATTGAGAATACATTTGAGACGACGCTAACTGGTAACTAATCTTGTCAAACTGTTTAAAAAAATCTATAAAAGAATAGTTTTTTTTTTTTTTTCTTTTTAAATAATTGAACCAAAACAAACTGTAAGTATAATGGATTATTACAACTATAAAATTGCTTCCCTTTCCGTTAAAATTCCCTGCGCCCCATTAGGGGGTAGGGACGCCAGGTTGAAGACCGCTATTTAAACTTACTATTTTCATTGTTATTTCCCTACGACAGTTAACGAAACATATGTAGGATTATTTCCCTTGTATTACTTAGTGAGTGATAATTAGCCGATGAGTTTCACACACAGATCAATGCAGAAATATGGGATGGCAGAACACATACAGCAAAATTCCCCTGTCAGCACAAACATTGAACATTAAACTCTTGCTTTTTCTGTTCCTTGAAATTCGTAAGAATGAAGTTTTACTGCAGCTATTTAACTTTGCTGTAATGTCTTTAGAAATCATCATCATCACCCAATGTGTACCGTTACACATCACGCAGGACTGGTATTCGATTCCTCCTTCGTTGCGAGTCTGACTCGTAATTCCAACGTACGGCGATCGAAACCCACTGCTGTCTGCGTTGATTTTTATCATGGTATGGGATGTCGCAGGTCGACCCAGCCTAAAATGAGTACCAGGGTGGATGTCCTGGGAAGGTAAAGACAGCCGGCGTAATGCTGACCACATTATCCACTAAGTGCCAATGGTCTGTAAAAATAGGAGTGTTCTTCCCATATGCCCGATGCGCCTAAGACGTAATAGGGGATCCTTTTATTTACTCCGCTATACTGCAAGCAACTCAATTTCTGACATCATTTTTAGTCTGTCGTAAAAATTGTCTTCCTTACGTTTCCCTTGGAGAGTCTTATTTGTCTTAAACCGTTTGTTTCTCATTTCTGTGTTTGTTTTGCAATTCTTTGCTTATTTCGTCTCAGTGTGCCCAATACATCTCATATATCTCCGCCTTTTGTGTGTGTGTGGTCTTATTGCAGTCGATACAGGCATGTGTACAGACATTTCTCTGATCTCCTCATACTTTTTTAATTAATCCCATTTTATTTTGTATTCCTTGTTTGTGGATGTTCTCCAACTTTAACCGGTATCTGTTAGAACTGAAATAACATTAGAACTGAAGGTTCGTAGTTTGGTCTTAAAGCTGTATAACTTGGAATGCCATATTATGATAAGACTTTTAAAGACTGCTGTTGCTTTGTCATTGCGTACAATAATTTACTTCGTTGTATCTCCTCTCCTTGAGTGTCAAAATTTCTACCCAGATAGGTGAAAAGGCCCGTTACTTCTATTGGTTTGCTCTCTAGCATGACATCTACATGATCTGTTGTTGGTATCATAATCATATTTGTTTGTAATCTTCTTGCTCGTAAATGAAAGAGTGATAATGGATGAAACGATAATTTAAGGGTTAAAAAAAACATGTACATCTAATCATTCCCCCTGTGGGATGCAATTTTTCGTTATTTGAAGCCCTACTCTGGCTCTTGCCAGGGGCCGCATATATAGCCCAGCCATAAATATGGTCTAGTGGCTGAACGAGGTTTTTGGGACCTCTCCACGGATGATCCTCATCCACATGGTGGCACTTAGTGTCATCGAGTGTTTATCGCCTGTGTGAAGTCCTAGTGGATGGGGGCGAAATCTGAATAATTAACAATGGAGAAAAGTTGGAGCGTCTCTATGAAAAACTAAAGGCTCGTTTTTATTTTCATGAGGATGTTTCAGCATAAAGGGACCCAAAAAAATTTGTTAGCTATTTTATTTTGAACTAAATATACAAAATTAAGAACATAGTGATAAACGCTCTACAGCGAAACTTTTGGGTAAAATACAATCTTTTTGCAAAAGGAAAAAACGATGGAATCATAGTCTGAACAAAACATGAATGTACACACATTTTATATAATGTATGTTCAAACATATCCATGTATGTGTATGTTTATGTGTATATATATATATATATATATATATATATATATATATTGTGTGTGTGTGTGTGTGTGTGTGTGTGTGTGTGTGTGTGTGTGTGTGTTGTATATCAGTAGGAACAGACGGCACATGTAATGGACGCTGTTTTTTATGTCTGCGTGTAAGATCCCAGTGCCGTATGTTTGCCAGAAATTGCTCCTAATTTGTTAGGGAATAGGAAAAAAACAGGGGGTTGGGAATGAGTACGACATCAAGTACCATGCATCGTACAAGACTGGCATCTACTTCTTCTTATTGCTCCTCCTCCATCTTCTTTATCCCTTTCTTCCTTCTCCTCTCCCCCATGATATTCTTTATCTTCGTATTCTTCTTCCTCCTCCTCCACCTCTTCTTCTTGTTCTTTTTGTTCTTGTTCCTCTTGATCTTGTTCTTGTTCTTCTTCTTCTTCTTGTTCTTCTTCTTCTTGTCCTTATTCTTGTTCTCCTTTTTATTCTTTTTCAGCTTTCTTCTTCTTCTTCTTCTTCTTCTTCTTCTTCTTCTTCTTCTTCTTCTTCTTCTTCTTCTTCTTCTTCTTCTTCTTCTTCTTCTTTTTTCTTCTTCTTCTTCTTCTTCTTCTTCTTCTTCTTCTTCTTCTTCTTCTTCTTCTTCTTCTTCTTCTTCTTCTTCTTCTTCTTCTCTTCTTAATCATTTTAATCATTTTCCTTTTTCTGCAGCCGCCCTAAAATATAAATTGGTATGTTGTTTTTATGATTTTTGTCTTGGTATTGATACGTATGCCTTTCAGCCCTGAGCAGTCCGGTTAGTTGGTAGGAGGTCTACCCTCACCCCCCTCCCCACACTAACTTCACTCCCCCACACCCCTCTTGTGGTACTGGAAGCTAAACAATAGGGGACTAGCTTTAATTGTCTCAGCTAGTGGAATTAATAGCAGTAATACTTTATGAGTTGGAAACACAGTCAATATCTTGTTACAACGAGTGTTCTGAGTCGTGAAGGATAACAATCGACAACATCACAATTACTGACATGATGTGGCAAGTTTGTGTTTCATGTCTTTATCATATAAGAAAAATTTCCTAAGCTTTTTTATATCTTGACACCGTAAAGTGATACTGAAGGGTTCTAAACCTTTTCCACAGTCATGTGATCGTTCAACGTCTACTGCCCATATATTCTTTTTATCCTTGACATCATCAAAATAATGAACATGGGGATGTGCAAAATAACAATGGTGGCAACATATATCTGTGCTTCGGATACCAAGTTTGGTTGTAAATGCAGTGCAATGTTTAAGAGATGTTCTGTGCAACACAATCACACACATCGTCACACACTAATCAAGGGCTTCTTATGCTTGAAGATGTATATCCGTTAGGAGCCCATGATGTCATTGAAGACGGCTTACTCATTTATTGGTCTGGATAAACAGCAATAGAATATTAGTTATCGCAGGTTGATTAATCTGTTCCCACTTTGCTTCTTGTTCTTAAATATATAATTGAAATTAGGTACGAATAGTGTGAAATTAATCAATCAATCAGGCGCCGTCTCCAGAGTGAAGGTTGGCTGCAGTGCATCTTCAACACACTCTGTCTCTTGTCCTGCTCGTACACTCTCTCACACTGTTCCCTGTCCATCTCCTGATGTAATCCTCCCACTTGTATCGTTGCCCACCTCTTACTCTCTTGCCTCCGACCTTTCCTTCAAGTTTGGTTTTTAAAATTTGTTACGTCATTTAAAATGCCTGAAGTATGAATTAAGAAGGGCAGGCTCCTTATACTAGAATCCTAACCTTTCAAAAATTAAGCTTGTTTGTTCGATTGATCTGTCTTATCTGTCTTTGATTTGCCGTTTAAAGACAGGTAAAGGAAAAAACACATCTGCAGTAGGAGCCTGTTGTGTACTTCACACAAAGTGGTGATCGCAGCCTAGAATACTCGATCAGTTCAGCACTGCCCAGTGTGGCTCGTTCCTACATGTTCCCCTCTCTAGATACCATATAGCTTTTGTAAAAGATGTCGAGTAAGAAAATTACTGTTGTGGGCGATTACGAATAAATCATTTTCTGAGAACTAAATGCTCCGTGCAAGCACTATCAACTGAGCCTTTTTTTAAATGTGCTCTGTATGTAAAATGTTAAAGAACATATAAGCTGTGTGGAATTCACAAGGAACACTCAGTTGCACACGACTGATAATGTTAGGTTAGCAGTCTAGTTAGTATTCTTTTCCCGACAACGTCTAACACAAGCGAGTACCCACCTGCATGGTAATATTATAATATCTTTATCAATGTGTGAATAGTTGAAATTCTATACTCGGTTTTTTTTTCTATGTTCCATTTATACATAGGTATGAAGTGTAAATCATGTGTTTCTTTAGTATTTACTTTGTTTAGGGTATCCCTTATAACCATTATAGTTAAATAGGGCTTCGTTCGGGTGATTCAGTTACAGTTGAATAGGTCTTCCTTGACGTGTTCATCCAGCGGAATGCAATCCTGGTGGCGACAAACTACCAAATCAAACAACATCCATGGATGCTCTCATTTGTAGCACGATCCTTCAGATCACAAACTTAACTTCGCTGTGATTTTGCCACTATTTAAGTTCGTTCTCCTATGCGTCTTACACTAATTAAAATTAGCACTAACAAACCTGAAATTATACCCTGGAAAAATGAGACCAGTAGTAAATTCTAGTCCTGGAGGACATATGCGCGGTTAACACATGTTTAAATCCAACTGTGGTTGAGCATAACCGTCAAAACTGTTCATACTCTTCGTTGGATGGTCAGAATATACGACATTTGTCCATGGGATTCATATACATGTTGTCGGAACACTGGAACGCTTCTGAGAATTCATCGGAACTCCGGAGAATACCGTTCACCCTGCAAATACAAGAAAATTGACTAATTAAAGCATTTGGAGCTGCTAACATAAATTGCTTGCTATAGATTTCTTTTATCTACAGTGAAAAGGTAAAAAATGCAATGGTATGGACATGTCATAAGATCTAACGGCCTAACAAAACAAAAAAATACTACAGGGCTCAGTAGAGGGAGAGAGGAGAAGAGGTGGACCAAGAAAGACCTGGTTACGGATCCTGACTGACTGGACAGGCCTCAAAGAATGCAACCATAAAGTCCATCGCAACTGACCGCCAAAGGTGGAGAGAGCTGATGAAACAGTTAACAGAAACTGGTGACCCAAGACACACATCGTTTTTGTATGATGATGATAATGAGAACCAAATACTTGGACAGCGATAGTTGTTTTGTTACATGTATGTGAGTAACGCTATGGCTTTTTCACTTACAACTAAAACGAAATGTTATATATGCTTTGAGGAAACTCATTTCATATGCTTCAGTCTTACAAGCTCACAGGAAATAATAATAACTAACATTATTTCTATTATAACAATTTATTATTATTATTGGTGCCTCAAGCTTATGTTCTCCACCCCCTCCCACCACCTGGCCCCACAATACAATGTATAAAGTGACTGAGGACCTCAATGTCTGCCTTGTGTCGGCGCCCCTGTAAACAAACAGACATGCACGTACGCATATATGCGTACACACACACATATTCATGCATAGGTTCCTAGACGCTAATTAACATAAGTGCGAACGCACATACAATTGTAAAATACTTGAAGTTTCTATAATTTGTTAATATAACCGTCACATTGTGGCCTTTAATCTATCCCCTATGCCCCCCCCCCTACCACTACCACCTCACAAACTCCTTTCCTAGCCCTGGCTCCCAGATATATTTAAATAAACATTTGCTGAATGTGAAGACATGAGAGTCAGACGTCTGTAGAAGCGTGTTGAATGATGCCGATCCAATGTTTGCCTGTAACAAATGAAGCGTAACCTCTGGGACACAGAGAATGATGGTTGTTGTTGTTGTTGTTGTTGTTGCTGTTGTTGTTGTTGTTGTTGTTGTTGTTGTTGTTGTTGTTGTTTTATTTTGTCTGTCATGCAGTCTGTCTTCTTTTCAAACCGTTTTTCTAACAAAGTCGGAGATATTGGTTGGTCCAGTAAATTTTCTTCTAGACATTGAAACAAACACTTTTGTAATGTTTTTTTTTTGAATGTATCCTTATTCCTTGTCGGTTACGTAAATATATAATAAATATAGAATAATTTGTTTATATACATAATGGGATTTATCATTCTTCTCATTCTTCTTACTGTTTCATCTACTTTCTTCTTTTTCTTCTTCTTCTGCTTCTTCTTCTTCTTCTTCTTCTTCTTCTTCTTCTTTTTCCCTCTTCTTCTTCTTCTTCTTCTTCTTCTTCTTCTTCTTCTTCTTCTTCTTCTTCTTCTTCTTCTTCTTCTTCTTCTTCTTCTTCTTCTTTGTCGCCGTCTTTGCCGTTTTCCTCTTCTTTATCTTCTTATTATTATCATATTATGTATTTTTTATTATTGATATTATTGATATTATTATTATTATGTCTTGTCTTTTCCATAGCATCTTCCTTTATTGGCAGCATTCTTCCTAAACTTCCAGATGATCATTGTTCCGTCACATTTTTATGTAACATTCATTTCTCCGCCCACTTCACGCACTCAGTGGAATGTGTATTTGTCATTCAATTAGTTGCGTATCCTGTACATGTCATTGCAGAACCAGAGCTAACACTTGACCTCTGTCTGGTTTTACTATCAATTCACCCTGTCTTTCTCTCTGTTTTTCACTTTCTTTCTATCTCTTTTACCTCTCACTCCATTTTCTCTCTCTCTCTCTCTCTCTCTCTCTCTCTCTCTCTCTCTCTCTCTCACTGACTCACTCTCTCCATCTCTCTCTCTCTCTCCATCTCCCTCTCTCTCTCTCTCTCTCTCTCTCTCTCTCTCTCTCTCTCTCTCTCTCTCTCTCGGCAAGCATACATCTCAGCCATTCGTCCTTGTCTGAACCTACCTCTGTTGACCTGGTATTGACGGAAGCAGGTCGTCGCTAACATAATACTGGAGTATTCCTCTCTCGCTGACTTTCTCACAGTGCGTCTGAAAGAAAGAAGCCATTGTTTCAAATCTTCCCCCCAGAGCCATAGAACCACAATGCATCTCTAAACCGGAAGCGGACCTTTCACATTGTGAGAGCACTGAGTTAGGCTAAAGTCGCATACATTGCCACTCAGGGAGACGTAACTAGCCGCTTAGACATTCTTTCTCACGCCGCGACCCCTTACCAACCATCAATCATTCTAAAAGGGGGAAGGGGGGGGGGGGGCTTGGCGATCCCGTGTTATCTAGAAAAGTAGCCAGGAGAACAAAGTGGTCACTCTAATCCTGTACAGGCTTTGTCTTTTTACATTTTTGTGTACACATTTAATGCTATTACAGAACAGGTAGTATAGTCAACTGCCACTAGGCACAATATTATTATTATTATTATTTAATTACTATTATTGTTATTATAACCAGGATTATTATTATTTAATTATTATTATTATTATTAGGAACTTAAAAATTGATAGCTTGGGTGCCCACCCCCTTCTCTCCTCTCCCCCATAGAAAATTATAAGAGATTTGAACCTATTTTCTCTAATCTTTCCAAAGAGGTTTTCTTTGCTTTGGTATCCCTCTTTAAAGTTACAATCAATAGTCAATCAACTTCATTTGTCACATCTATATTTGAACATCAAAAGTGTTTTACTAGTTAACTATCTGGATTTTACAAAAGCGTAGGTAATTTTTTTCAGATACAATTGTGCAAAGAATTATTTTTCTTTTATTGTTTTTTTTTAAAATAAATATTATCATCTTAATATTTCAAGCTAAAATCATTCTATTATCCCTGTTGTGGAATATAAACCTGACTGAGCGACGTTCACACCCACCAAGAATGCACGATGAGCGATAAACTCCCACTGATACTAACCATCGAATGGACAGGTAATTGCTCCTCTCTATTTCAAAGGTAAAACATGATGATGATGATAATGATGATGATGATGATGAAGATGATGAAGATGATGATGATGATGATGAAGATGATGATGATGATGATCATGATGATGATGAAGATGATGATGATGATGATGATGTAGATGATGATGATGATGTAGATGATGATGATGATGATGATGATGATGATGATGTAGATGATGATGATGATGATGATGATGATGATGATGATGATGATGATGATGGTGATCATGATGATGATGATGATGATGAAGATGATGATGATAATCATGATGAAGATGATGATGATCATGATGATGATGATGATGATGTTGATGATCATGATGATGATGATGACAGCTGCATCTGAATTTGCATTAAAAACCATTTCTTCTTTGCTCTACCTAGTGACACAAACTGCCATCAATCGGATGAGAACCACCGGCACATGTCCCAGAACAAGTAGATTATATTTTAAGCCCCCACCGACAATCAAGGTAGGGTTTTAAAGTAAAATAAATGTTGCGTCCGACATACGGACGGGGATTAATATAAGCCTGAAATGTTTGGACTAAAAGATGGTAGTTTGTAGACAATAAATTATGGGTAGATTTTAGAATGTTATAGGTAAAGAAGATTGTAGATTTTAGACAATGCCATATACATCCTAAGGACATTGTCAGAAAGAGCTATAGAAGTAAACACTGATTTGTACTTATGCTTCATAGACTATACAAAAGCATTTGACTGTGTGAAGCATGTAGAAGTAATCAAACTGTTTGATTCTGGGGTTGATTCTACAGCATTGTGTAAAGCATAAACAACACATTTTGTTTAGTTGTACTATCATAGCAACACTCAACTGAATGTTTACAATAGACTGGCACTGATCGCCGTACCTGAGCGAAAGCAATGAAGAACATCTGGGGTCGTGTGAATGTTAATCCTGGTATGAAGTGGTCGACCTCCAGTTCGTTGTCCAGCTGTTTCCAAGCCTAGAGGAAATGACAGGTGGATAAATTTATGGATATGCTGAGAGGTTGTTTGATCTATGAACAGACAGAGGGAGAGACGGATGGGTGGTGAAGGGATAGATGAATGCAATGACGGACTGACTGATGTATGAATGACAGGGTGGATGAATAAATGCTTAGGTAGATGGATTCGTGAATGTATGCATAAATGGATCAAAGATGAATCAATCTGTGAATGGATGGATCGGTTCGTAGGTAGTGGACAGATAGTTGCACTGATGACTTGAGTTAACTCTGAATCGATGAGTGGATCGATGGACGGTAGTGGAACGCGTGTGTTAGAGAGACCAAATAGCGAATGAAAAAATATGTCGATGTATGCATTGATTGAATGACAATGGAAAGAATGGGTGGAAAGACTGTCTAATATATGGATTGAAAGAAAAGTTAATTAAATAAAATCATTGAATAATTAATGGATGAATAAAACAATGGGTGAAGTGGTAAATATATGAATAGGAAATTGATGTCAATGAATGGGTAAAAAGATGCACAAACCGACTGACATTTCTGTGAAAGCATGTGAGGGTAGATGGACTAATGTATGAGCAAATGAAAGAAGGGGTTTTAAAAAAAAACAATGGCTGATGTGTGACTGGGTAAATAAATTGATGGATTGGTCCGTGGATGGAAAAAACAATAGGTAGGTGAATTGTTCGATAGTTGAATGTAACAATGAATAAATAATAAATCAGTGAATAAATAAACGAATAATGAGATGAATTGGCTATTGAATAGAATGGTAAATGGATTGTCATGTCCAGTAGTAATCATGTGTCAACTTTCACATCGAAAAGATTTTACTTGCGCAGAATACCATATCCTCGCTGAAGCTGCGCAGTGACAGGTACGCATCCATGTCATTGTTATTATCATCCTTGTCAACCCAGTGGACATAAAATTAAATCAAAATCCATCTTTTCTTTCATGCGAAGGTAGAGTGATGGCCAGATCTTCTGATTACTCCCCAGACCTCCATTCTCTTGACAGCATAAGGATCTGTTTGCGATTGGCCTTGTTCACTTTCTTCCAAGTCCCACATTTAGCTTATTCATGCATCAAAGCACCAAATAATAGTACAGAACCAGCCTAAGTATCTGCCTCATCATTTCCCATCACACTTGCACTTTCTGTACGAAAAATCCAAAGGATGCCAACTGCCTAGGAACTCTTAAGGGGTGCCTGCCAATAGGACTGGAGCTGGCTTCTCTTAGTCTATTACGGTGACATTTGTGTGCAATAGGTTTTCAAGCTAGCGAAAAGCTGCGGTAACTGCCTTCACATCTGTTCTGAGACTAGGATTTGTATCGTATCAAACTCTGCTTTAATAAATAACTTACTGTCACTGATTCAGCGACAGGCGTATTACTTAATTAAATCAACGCCAGACAATTCGAACGCAGCTGGGATCGAGTCAGGCGAAGCGCGTTCGTACGCCAAAGCCTTAGACGCCACCTATAAGCGTATGGATTTTAAATTGGGATGTTTTAAAAGGCGCTTGTTTGTACACCGACGTACACTTGAACATCTGTGGTAAGTGAGACTGCAAGAATGAAAACGGAGAACAAAAGTGACGGTTAAGCTTTGACTGAAGCTTTATTATTTGTAAGACATTAAACAGACGGTGTCTCATAAAATACCCTGTCAGTTCTTACAGTTCTCATTCAAACGGTGAAATTGGTTTTTTTTTTTTTACACTTTAACCGTTGTTCCATTCAACAATTCTATCTGCGGTGCCCACAAAGATATATGATAGCTATGCCAGTTCATTGCACTGCCTTTTCTCTTTGCCTGGTTGTTGTTATTCCTCCCAGACATCATTGCATTTCTTATCTGCCCAGGATGTTCTCATCATTGATGTTTAAACACCACAACTCTGCAGCTATCACATTATTTCCTTCTAATCTGTCGACTGTCTAACAGCCTAGACGACACCAATCCGATTAACACAGCAACACCTCTTTATATCTACCTCGGCACATCTTTGCAAAATGTGATAGGTGCTTCCCTAATTGAATAACTCGTGCTCAACATATGCCTTGATCACTCAACCAGAAAAAAAGGCCTTGGTGTGTGGTTGCTGCAAAATTGATTCTCTGGGTGAGAGGCTTTCAAGTGAAATCATCACCCTGGGGGGAGGGGGTGGGGTTGTCTGTGTTCAACATCATGAAGAGCTGTCATGTTTCGCTATGTCACACAATCCTAGAATCCTGGAACAGGGCGATGTGTTTTCCTCGCCCCATTCATGTGGCCAGGCATTTCAGGTATTTATCCCTTTGACTTCCTCTTGTACTCTTTCCATCTACCTTACCAGTTGTTAGATAGTTCTCAAGTCAATTTCTCCTCATATTATGTTCCAAAAGACTCTGGATGACTTTTTCTAATGGTTTTGAGAATTTACGACTCTCATTCATCGACAGTGCAACACTATTATCTGGAAAGACAGAAAGATGCCATCATAATCTAAGAACAATGTATTTTCACTGCGTTTCCAGTGGAAAGGCGGTGTCCGTGGCTAAGGCGTCGCGAGTCCGACTCGTAGTTCCAACATACTGCGATTGAAACCCACTGCTGGCTATGTAGATTTTTTATCATGGTACGGGGCGTCGCAGGTCGACCCAGCCTAAAATGGGTACCAGGATGTATGTCCTGGGAAACTATTACTTAGTCGCATTTGCTACTTTATATGCGGATGTTCACGCTTTTGTAGATATGCGATGCTTTTTAGCCTTGAATCCACGAGGTATAAGATTCACCATGACTAATTTCCATCTTTCGTTGCCAACACTCTTCTTTATTCTTCTGCCTTTCTAGTCCCCAATGGAGCATAGGATGCGAACAATAGCATAATTTGGATGCTTACAATTTAATTATTAACTTCTGAAAAAAAAAAAACTGAATAGCCCTCTATATCAGCGGTTCTCACTGTGGGTCACTACCCATTTTTGGGTCGAGCGACCCTTTCTAAGGGGTCGCCAAAGACCATCGCAAACCACATATTCATTGAAGTTATGAAGTAAAAACGAAAATAATTTTTTGGTTAAGGGGCGCCAAAACATGAACAACTGTGTTAAAGGGTCGCAACATTAGGACGGTGAGAACCACTGCTCTATATATTGTTAAATCGTACAGATTTGCTTTCATGCCTATTTTTTAACTGATGTTTTTGTCACATTTTTAACGCGTATAATGTCTAAACCACTATATGTCGTATTTCTTTAGGAAATAGCATACTATTATAAAATTGCTTGCAAAGAAAATTGTATGTGTTTTGACAAATATTTTAACCAGAACAGCGTCGTGCGTATTCCGGTCATATGGTCTACCGTTACTGTGGGTTGTTCTTCTGTTTACTGAAAGATAATTGCATGTGTTTGCGTGTGTGTGTGTGTGTTTGTGGTGTTGGTGGGCGAAACAAAAGAGTAACGTCAGAAATTATATTTGTCGAATCTTACAAGGTTGTTGTTTTGCAAGAACATCAGACTGATGGAACGTAGGTATATGTGAGATGCGTACACTGTTAGCTGACGATGTACAGCAGATTCAAATGTGTATTTGTGACAAGCATTCGTCTCGAAGAACTAGTAATAGATATACAGAATAGTGGATCGAAGACAAGACAAGTCAAAGTGTGACAAGATCAGATAATATAACATTTTTCAGTTTAGAGGCCGAAAGAAGATTGCAAAGCAAAGCCTACCTTTGAGTAGAGAGGTGACTTTGTATTTGTGTAATTCGCCTGTTAATGTCGTTAGTTATATTCTTCCTATATAACTCTTAAAATATAAAAACTTACTGTTCCTTTATAGATTATGCCAGCTCTCGCAAACCACAGCGTTGATGCAACGAAATACTAAATAATTTAATGTTTTAATAAACGAAAAATTATTACATTTAGAACTTTAGTATATAAATAAGCTGTTTGCCACAAGAAAACAATGCCCACCAAAGTGACTGCCCGTCGAATTCCTAGACTATATTGAAGGCTACTATACTAACACACTCCACACGCGAGAGCTTGCACCGTCTAATTTCCTCTCAGCAACACTACGTCTTTATTATAATTATGTTATGCCTGCCTCGGGCTATCGCTTCACCATCCATCCATCCATCCATCCATCCATCCATCTATCCATCCATCCATCCATCCATCCATCCATCCATCCATCCATCCATCCATCCATCCATCCATCCATCCATCCATCCAGTCTAGAATTGACTTGTATCGGCCAGATATTGTGGGGTTGGCAGTGTCGTGGCTTTGAGTCACGTGTTTGACGGGTTTCTGTAAGGGCACGGAGGATGCCGGGGGACCTTGTGGGTTAAACAAAGTGTAATTGACTGGATGTTGGTAAGCGATGCTTCAGTAAGTGACTAATAGCAGACTTTGGTCTGGGTTTGTTTTTAGCTTTATTGTTCACCGTTTGGCGCGTCTACTTTAAACCCTCAGGAGTGACAGCCGCCAGGGGATGGTTCCTGTACATCATAAAGGTGCTTCTGCGCGGTCGGGTGTGAGTTACCCATAGGAGGCACCTAAGACATAGTTTTCTGGGTTGTTTTGTCCATGTCTATAGGGACTGTCTTTGTAAATATTTAGGGAAGCAGTAGAAGACTTAACAGTGTGCCACTGATCACCACTCATCTTCGTCGTAACGTGTTTTGTCCATAACAAAAGGGCGGATGCAATATTACAGAGATGACTTTTAGTATTGGAGTTGACTTTGGCATTCTACTGTTTGTAGATTGTTGTGGATTCGATGAGTACTGTGTGTATGGGCGTAGCATGATCATTACCTTTAGATACTTCGCCAGATTTGCCATCCATACTCCGGATCGCATATAATATATATATATATATATATATATATATATATATATATATATATATATATATATATAAAATAAGACCAGATAAGACAAAACAATTCACGACTCGACAATTTACTATAGGTTAGAACTAGGTAACGAACAAACAAACACAGTGAACTTTATTTTCAGATTGTTTGTTTGTTTGTTTTAGTATCCAGAAGCCATGAGCTGTTAACCCTTAGGCTCGGTATTATGGATATCGCAACCTTGCAGCCTTGATTCCATTGTAAATACCGTAAATCTGGGAGAAAATGTGGCTTTCCTGCCTACCCTAGGGATTGAACCCGGACCACAAGGAGTTCATCACCCGGTCTCCGCGCAATCCGGTTTAGCCAACTACGCTAGAGAGCGGGGCTTATTTTCAGATAAGACTAGGCACAATAAGATAAAGCAAAATGAACAAGATGTGACATTTTAGGGTAAGACCAGACAGCTAGTACAAGAGAAGATAGATAAGGCAAGACGATAAAAGATGATTCGAGATAAGAGAAGAGAAGACATTATAAAATAAGACCAGACAGTTAAGACGAAATAGATAAGACAAGACGCTTAAAGACAATTCGAGACAAGATAAGTCGGACTTTTTACCTGATAAGACAGTTTGAGAGCTAGTTGATCTTTCCACTGTTGACCTTTCGTGAGATCACCATCAACCTACAAAAAATAATAATTGTACCAATCATTAGTCTGTGTAAAACACATCTTCATTTGAGTATGTTTACAGCTCTTACCTAAAACCCAAATGTGCACACGTATACACCGATGATCATTAGAGAACGCATTAAAAAACAAAATAAAAAACAACGTAGGAAGTGGTTCGGTCAGCGTGCTGCAAGATGGGACTATAGTAGAAACCTCCAGTCCCTCCGGAAAAATCAACAAACAAACTTCAGAGCAGGGCAGAGCAGTAAGCAATTATTAATGCCACCAATGTACTTAAAGAGGTGACAATTAAAAACAGCAAAATTGTTTTCCTGTGTGACTGAGTGTCAGTCCTCAGGGTGTCTCAGCTGGATCCATGAGACATCGAGAGAGAAATGCCCCCCCCCCCCCCACCCCCCCATCTAATCAGAATCTCAGAAAACAATCAAATCGTTCTCTAGTGGATCTCGGTATGCTAGGAAATGAGTTAACAGACTGACCTGCAAAAAATAGAACAACGGAGAAACAACACACCCATTCATTGTCTTTACCAGCAATCAGAACACTTATCAAGGGAAAATGCATGGAATTATGGAAAGAACTAACCAACAGTAACATCTTCAAGACCCCTTTAGCAGACTCAACAGAAAGCAACATATACAATTTTTTCCGTCTCCGAACAGGACACTGCAACTACCACATGCATAAGATAAGGACTCTACAGTCCCCACAGTGTGTCATTGTGCAGACTTGCCCACTCTACCTACAACTTCGAAAAGACACCTGGCCTGAAGTGCAAAGTGTGCAGAGCAAGCTATGGGGAACCATAAAAGACCTGCAGCTCACGCAAGTTCATAGAGGCAACACACCTGATGGTCAGACCGGAGCATGCGAAACCGAACACAAAGAAAAAGAAGACAAATGTATGTACTAGCTATGGGTTTTTTTTTCTTCTCTCGTAACGTGGAAATTTCGTGGAGTTTATCAACAGCAATGATAATCGAAAACCCGGGCCCCTGTACATGCGAAACAATAGTGAGGGGAGGGTTGCTTGGCTACTTATATACTTTCTATGCAGCCTTAAGTGACCTAAGCCTTGTTAAAGTGTTTAATAATAATATTAATATTATGTTTCTGAATAGCACTATTCTACATGTCTGACCTAGTCACGAATAGTCTGTCATTGATGTCATGCCGTTTTGAAACATCCTACTCCACTCGTACATTTGGATACTCATTCCCTACACATACACACACACACACACACACACACACACACACATATATATATATATATATATATATATATATATATATATATATATATATATATATATAAGTTCGTGTGTAGGGAATGAGTTTGTATATATATATATATATATATATATATATATATATATATATATATATATATATATATATATATATATATATAAATTAATTCCCTACGAAGCAACTCACCATCACCATGTGTCCTCCTACTTGATATGGGTTAATTAAATTTATGTTGCATCGTTCAGTTTTAAAACTAACCAGTTCTATTCAAACTGTTACTCTTCCTATCTATGTATATAGTGGGGTGTTCTAATCCCTTCAAGTCATAGCAATTATTTATTTATTTATTTATTTTTTTTTTTTTTGAGCGAAAACAGCTGAAAATAGATAGAGCTACAAAAAAACATGTTTGAAACTGAAAAAAGGTAATATTTGGGAGGGAGGGGCGATTTAAAAAAAAAAGGGGTGGAGCGGAATAACACAATTCGAGTTGTGTAAATAAAAGAGCTCAAAAACTCGAAAAAAAAATGAGGTACATTGGCAGAAAAGAAAGAAAAAAAAGAAGGGGTAAGAGGGGTTGGGGTGGGAGAGGTTGTTAAAGTTTACCTCTCTCACAAATATAGGAAAGCAGGAGTCTAAACCAGAAAGGTTACAGCCCCTGATAAAACCCAGCCTCTGCAAGCAAAGCTACCCATACAGACTGTGCATTTTATGTGTGTATTTTTTTTTTTTTTAGGGTCTGAAACAACCAAAACAAAGTCCAACAATGTCTGTACCCATAAAACGTTGACATTTCTTTCGTATATTTTAGTCCGATTGCTCATACTTTCTTCCATCCTTTCTTTCTTTTCCTTCTTTATTTTCTTCCTCTCCTTCTTTTGTTCCAGTTTTTTTTTTGTTTACGTTTTTTTTTTTTTCACTTCTTACAATTTTTGCTTTCTTGAAGTATTTTGAATTTTTTTTTTTTTTTTTTGGTTGAAATTTTTATTTTTTATTTTCTCTCTTTGATTCTTTTTATCAACATTATCCTGTTTCTCTTTTCTTTTTGTCCACCCTTAACTCCATTTTCCCCACTGTCTCCAGTCGAGAAGATCTCTTTTAACGAAACACAGAATTATCAGTCAAGTGACGAAAAACCACAATTACAATTCAGGGATCTCATGAGCGCCACTGCAGCTGCGGGCTTCGTGCATCGTTTGACTGTCGCGAAAGAAGGGCAGCTTCTCTGCTGGAGGATGACATAAAACGTGTGTGCAATGAAGCCGTTTCTTTATTTTTAAACCATAGTGATACATAAAGGAAAACTTGAAATCTACAAAACTTCATAAGGAGTGACAGACAAGGGGCAAGGGAACAAACTTCGTGATCTCGTAGTAATATTGTCTTGTAAAATGTGAACTATCTCTTTACCATTATTTTAGACATCATCATTATGGCTGAAAAAATAAACATGCGAGGAGGTTTTAAATAAAAACCTTAAAAGTGTAACAAAAAAAAACAAAAAAAACACTACCAAACCACAAATTAACTACAGTTACTTAAAACACGGATAGCTGATCGCTTCACCTCTTTGGAACATTTGAAATGTAGGGCGGCCATCTTTAAAATGGAATTATGACGTCACCGTTTTCGTCTGCACCCAAAGGTCACGTGCTAAACACTCTTGACACTGTCAACATCAATACTGTTAGGTTTTTCTTTTAAAGCCACATATGTATAAACAATCACATAAATCGCCAGGCCTAAGGCACCACATGGTCGTTTAGAAAAGAGTGACCTACCTTGTAGACCTGGGCACCATAATCCAGCATCTCCATCTTTCCGTACATCTCAACCAAGCACTTGAGCCTGACTGCCAAACCGAGGACAACGCTGTGGTTCAGTAGCCCATCGGCATGGTGGTCGAGCAGATCTGTGGACAAGATGATGTAACGTTAGTTGTCAGTTGCCAGTCGAGGTTCTAACATCAATGTAAACGAATCTTTTGAGGTCAGAGAGCTTTTGTCAAAGAATCAGGAAACCAACAGTCTGCATATATGACAGATTAGTAAAACGGATGTGCACACACCACTCAGGCTCTGGACCCTTTTAAAATCAATTTCGTTCTCTCTTTCTCTCTCTCTTTCTCTCTCTCTCTCTCTCTCCTCTGTGTATGTGTGTGTGAGTCAGTGAGTTAGTGAGTGAGTGTGCGTGTTTATGCTCGTGTTTGTACAGTCATTATTTTGTATGTCAGTACTCACCTTCTATACCCAAACCATTTGACACTCTGGAGGCTAGGAATGTGCCCAATGACCCATAGGTGATCGGCTGAGGAACTGGCGATGGGTAGACTATTGGACCAGCTCGAGATCGATGGTTGCCTGGGAAAAAATGTATATAGGATAAACACTATATTCCAAAGTATACTATTCAAAAGGTCCGCTCTGTGGCTAAGTCGATGCGAACGCTTCGTAATGCCGGGATGCCGGGTTCGATCCCAGCTGCAGGCCATGCGCCTTGCGTTGGTTTCGACAGTGGTAACAAGAAAGCCGACCGACCAGGAAGCAATGGCAAACTACTGGACGTAAATTTGCCTAGAAAAACCACACAACAGCCAGGGGCTGTTGGGGTTGGTTCTGCAACGTCCTGTAAAGGATACGCAACTAACCTTAACTATTCAAAGACATAAAGGTAGTTGGGTGCGTATCCTTCACAGGACATTGTAGAATAAATGCAACATTGTCTGTTTCGTATGGTTTTACTAGACAATTATATGTTGTGTAATTTGTCATTACCGGCACTCCAAACCATTGTCTAAATCAACAAAGATTTGTCAGTTTCCATCGTGCTTGATAGTGGAATCCTCAAAACAATGTAGTCATTGAAGTTATCAAGATTTTCATTCGTAATATCTAAGGGTGTCGGCGGTAATATGGGATCGTTTACAGCTGGTGTATGTGTGCGCACGCGTGTGCGTATATGTATGTATGCGTGTGTGTTTATTTGTGTGTGTGTTTGTGTGTTTGTATGTGTTGTGTGTGTGTGTGTATACGCAACGGGGCATCATATGGACGCCTGAAATGTTTTTGTTTTAGGTGCATAAATTATGTAAAAGTTCAGAACAAATGCATCATTTTCCATACAGACACCACTACGCTCAGTGCAAGTTCCCAAGCCCTGATACAGTGGTTGGATTCATGTAGACATCAATTCTCATGCGTGTATAACCGCTCAAGCGCCACCTGCTGCACGGGATCAAATATTCTTTTTTCCTAGTCATAGGTAGAAATCATTCTGGGTTAGGTTTGGCGAGTATAGAGAATGTGGCACAAACTGAAAGTGGAGGTCTTCGATGGTTTCAAGCGATGCACTGGCAGCATTGTCAAGCTGCAAAACGATACCTTTACCCAGAAGCCCATTTAGATTTGATAGAGGTTCGAAGAAGATTCTTGCATAGATCTATTTATATCTCTCTCTCTCTCTCTCTCTGTCTCTCTCTCTCTCTCTCTCTCTCTCTCTCTCTCTCTCTCTCTCTCTCTCTGTATATATATATATATATATATATATATATATATATATATATATATCACTGGTGACACTTTTACCTCTGGCATGTAGTGCTCTACAATAACGCCTCGTTCACCCAAAAAAGACATAGATGCAGATGGCTGAGTGGGAAACTTGAGTGGTTTCGATGAGGAAGGGTGGCGCCATTCCTTGCTTGTTGTCTTATTTTTCGATCTTGTGGTGGTGAATCAAGGTTTCATCTTCAGTAACAATTCTTGATTAGAAACCATCACCTTTTGTTTCAAAGAACTGCAGACGTTTTCGCCAATCATCATTGCCTGTGTTTTACCTTGGCACGGCACCCACCTTGCAGACACGTTGCGGTGCAGTAGCACATCGTAGATAATGTGCTGCGCTGAACTTGACTGATGATAAGATGTGTGGCAATGTCTTTGAGCCAATTGGCGGCTCTTCTGTACGAGGCTTTGAAGGCTTCAGTATCGACTCGGGGAGGAGGGGGGCGGGGGTTTCACTATTCTAGGTATCTGACCTATTCACAAACAGTCTGTCATAGATGTGATGCCGTTTTGAAACATCCTACTCAACTTGTACACTTGATGGACTGAAAGGCATGTGTCACCATAATGTACCTTTGTTCGTAAAATAATTTATATAGTTTACACCATTTCACTATTACAATCGGATAACAGAACTCTTCTCCCCTTTGGTGCATGTTAAAGGTGGGGCGGCCATCTTTGAATTGTAATTATTAAGTAGTTTGTATTCGTGTGCACCCCGATGTAACGTGCTTAACACTCTTGACGTCATTAACAACAATACCGACCGGTTAGAAGACAATAGCATGATTACTGAAATTTCTTTCACATTTATAAGTTTTCATTTGAAGCACTCTCGTGTATGTATGTTAGGTACTGTCATCACCGTTCGAACACAGTACCCTTTCCAAGATATAAACATGCCGACCACCAGTGCTATTTTCAGCTCTAAGAGCGTAACCTAATGATCCCTGTGTTAATTAACATCCCCTGAAATAAAACAACTATTCGACTGAGGATATTATCTGAAAGGTCAAATGTCAAACTATACTGAAAGAAACCAAACATAACAGAAAACATCAAATTAGTTCCCGCCCCATTTCCAATAAATCCGGGACAGCAGCCGTCTATTTTTTTGCTTTTACTTTGAACTTAAAGCCGCTCCCTTTCATCTCAGGCAAATGTCAAACCGTTAGTAATCAGGTTATTGTCAGAGTTGGTACTTGAATCAGTTCCTCGTCGGCCTATAGTGTCAGCCACTGGGAGTTTGTTAGTTGCAGCCATGAACAATTGTTATGTCTGTTCTGTCTTCAGCTAGTCACTGTAATGTATAATAATGGAGGGTCTGCCGGCTAACTACACTTAGAGAAAAGGCAAGACGGACTTTTAACCAGAACGTGACTTGTACCATCAGTACTGGAACTCTGCGCTAGCTGCTGAAAATGAGGACGGAGCATGAATAAGAATGCCCCGAGTGCTGTGATGTCAATTCTTGACTCAACTCAACTCAAATCGTGTATAATAATGGTTTTATTTTATATTTTAACATTGTGTATCATGCCATAGAGACTGTTGAAACACTGACTCTCTTAAAAGAATTAGCTCACGAAATGGAACTAGTTATCAATCAAGATAAGACAGTAGACGTGACAATAACTAGACAGGGAAAGGATATAAACTCCGGCCGCATGCAAGTCAATAATATGAAAATCAAACGAACGGAAAAATGTAAGTATTTGGGTGCAAACTTCAATTGCTTCAACATGATGAGAGAAAAAATACTATCTAGAATATAGTCTGGAAATAAAGTATACTATGCCCTTCAACATTTGTTAAATTCAAAGTGTCTGTCTAGCAACACCAAAATCAAAATATATAAAGCGTTGATAAGACCAATCGTTTTTTACGGCTCTGAAACTAGGAGCACAGCTAAAAGAGATAAAGCCTTATTACAGGTTTTCGACATCAGAGTCCTGCGACGAATATTTGGACCCATTAAAGATGCAAACACCGGTTAATGGAGAGGGAAAAGAAATAATGAAATTCATAATCTCTTTCAATCACCACTGATCACACGCATCATGAGATCTAATAGACTGAAATGGTTGGGGCATATTGAAAGAATGTCAGATGACAGAGAAATAAAAACTGTATTCACAAGGAAGATAAATGGTCCTAGACCATGAGGCAGACCAAGTAGAATATGGTGAGATAGTGTCCAGACAGACCTGCAAGCACTTGCAACTGGAAAGAGAAGGCCAACCAGATAGATTAATGTAGGCTAGTGATATCTGCAGTAATGAACCTCAAGGGCTCGGAATGCTGAAAAAGAAGAAGTATCATGCCACAATCCTTCGTCGGTTTTTGTTTCCGTTCGCGAATTTGCTTATCTCCATTTTACTAGTGTTTTAGGCACATTATTTTTAAATATGGTTAAAGTCAAGAGAATCGACTTGATTGCACCAGATTGCACCAGATTGCACCAGATGTTATAACACATGGCTTAGACCTCTTCGAGCAGAATGGCTAGCAGATTGTCAAGATAGTTAAAAACACCTTAAAATGCAGCTCTCCACTAATGATCCAGGTGTATTTCCGTAAAAACGACGCTCCTGAACCGAACGACGTGGTCCTTGAAACATGCATTAAACATTCGAGATACACACTTTGAACCCATACTCATACCCCCTCCAGACCATCTTGTTTTTTCTCCTTTGCATGAGTGAATATTTAAGTTCGCTACGTATTCTTCACTTGACGTTGCAGAACCAACCCCAGCATTGGCTGTTGTGATTTTTAAAGGCACATTTACGTCTAGTAGTTTGCCATTGCTTTCTGGGCGGTCACCTTCTTGATACCACTGTCGAAACCAACGCAAGGGGCAAGGCCCGCAGCTGGGATCAAACCCGACACTCCAGCATTACGAAGCGCGTGCGCAACTCCTAAGCTTCAGACGCCGACAAAGTTTGTTAGTTCGGGTCCTAACATAAAAGTTTCAATTATTGTAAATTCATTGTCCAGGACTTTTTTTCAAAAATGACCTTCGCTCCCAGATCGACATAGCCTTGAATGGGTGAGAAGTACAATCCCGAGAAGTAAAGGCTGCCGGCGTAATGCAAACCACATCAACCACCAAGTTACAGTTTGGTCTAAAACATATAGGCCTAGCCCTACATACCCAAAACGCCTGACAGTGTGAAACAGAGTTATTTACTTACTTTGAATGCTGCTGACATTATTTTAAATTGATCGGCAATCGATGGATCGGTCAGATCGAGCAGTTTGTCCCCTCCGTACGGATACCTAAAGGTTTTCAGTATGCTCCTGAGATTTAAAACAATCTCAGTCTGGACGGCAAACACGGTAAATCCACAAAAGCTGTTATTATAGCTACACAAGCAATGAGTGACCCGCAGTCCTATGTGGACGGGAACCACTTCACATATTTATTTCTGGATTTTATTTCTCCCCTAATTTGCTTATTCTGTTACTCTTCTCTCTATCGACGCATTCTCTGTGTTGAGCTGGGAGCCATAAACAAACAGTTCAGAGAAGGAAGACAAATTTGACTCTGTGTGGATTCGAACCAAAGACCTTGAGGTTAGAAGGCAAGACTTCTAGCCACTAGCAACTGCGGCTTCCATATACACAGCAGACACATGCACGCACAAGTCCGCGCGCGCACACACACACAAACTTCCTAAAGTGTTGCTTACATCATTTTGTTTTTAAATTAGAATCAAATTTTTGATAACCAGTAGTTTTAGCTTTCATTTTTGCTTCCTTCGCGTAATTCTCTTGTTTTATCAAGAGATGTC